TTTTAAATAATAAAAATAATATTAAAATTTATTTATTTTAAAAAAATAAAACTCGAATAAAAAACTTTTAAGTTTAAAGATCAAATATAATATAAATGATTTATCAAACATTGATAATTTTTAAACACTTTTATTAAATAAAATATAAAGACAAATAGTATGTCGATCTACTAATTAGTATATATAGGTGGAATACGGGTATGATTTATGCTACTTGATAACAAATAATTAGATTATCTTTTATAGTAAGAAAGAACTTTAAAGTGTGTTTAGATGAAAAATTTAAATAAAATAATTCATTTGTTTACATAATTTTAAATTTTTTGAGGTGAAATATCTAGTTTGGATGGAAAATTTAAAAAGAATTTGTGAAATTTTTTGAAATAGTAAAATTTCAAATTCTAAAAAAAAAAAGTAAAAAATTTGAAATTTCTCATTTTTTTCTTATTTGAATTATATATATTGTCTTATCTCTTATCTTTTAATTATTGAATATTGAAAAATATTTTTAAAGTTATTAAATATTATCCAATATTAGTTTTTAAAATTATTAAGTATTTAAAAATTGACTAATATTTATTTTTATAAAATTTTATTTAAAAATCTCAACATATAAATATATTTTTAAAATCAATTTTATTATAGTGAAATCAAATTATCATATCCAAACTAATAATTTAAAATTTAAAAAATTTGAATTGACTTATCTAAATAAAATATTTTAAAAATAATAGAAATTGAAATTAAAGTAATTCATTAAGAATTTCAAATTGCTTAAATTTATAAAATTTTTCATCTAAATACACCGTTAGAATCTATGACCCATTCTCAATCCATAGCAAACGTCATTAGATGAGTGGAGTAACCATTCTTTCTTATGATAATCGATAATCAACACAATACAAAGTAAATGACATTGAATGGCTACGCAGAGTCTGAACTTGTCCACTTTGAAGCCTCTAACCACCTTAATTTAAACTTAATGAATAAACGCTCATATTTTTTTTTCTTTCTTTAATTTATAGACAAATTCAGTAATTGAAAGGCACGTAATTCCTCAACAATGTTAAGCAAATGAAAAGAAAATCTCGTGTCAATTCTTTTGTTCTAGATGGATATGAGAAAATCGTATGTTACTAACAATATGCTCAAGTTTGTTAATTCGTCTCTTGAGACACAATAACTTTCACTAATGAAAAAAAGATTTTTACAATTATTAATTTTTAATCAATTTTAACATAATTGATTTTAAAAAGCTAAACTTTTAAAATTAATTATTAACCGATCTTAAAAGTGTAATTTTTAGATTTTTTAAGATTAATTATTTCATAAAAATTAATTATTTTATAATTAATTTTAAAAGTTTAACTTTTAAAATTGATTATATTAAGACTAATAATTGATTGTCACTGGAAATGGTCTCTAAAGACAAAATTGTTAAAAAAATAGACAACATTGAATGATAATGTTGGATTGAACAAATTGATGCTAAGACAACATTAATTGTAGAAGGTCAATAAAGACTTAAAATTTGTTTAGATATAAGTTAAAAGTATTTCTTTTAAAAGTTTTTCTATCAAAATAAATTTTTTATTTTTAGTAAAAAAATCCTACAAATAAATCCTAGCAATTTAGCTTAGAAATTTTCTTAAAAATAAACATTTATTTTATGATAAGCAGATATAGTGGCCATTACAATAAATTAAGAGTATAAAAAAAATTAATTTGAGTAATGTTAAAAGCAGATAATTGTTATATATAATTAAGATGAAAGAAAAATATAATTTATTGTTTATAATTAAAGTCAAATGTAATATTATTCTTATTTGAATTTTAATGCTAAAATTGTATGCTTAAATATTGTATTTTATAAAATTTAATTGCATCGTGCTTAAATACTGTTTTTAATTGATATTATGGGATGTTAATAATTTTTTTTTTACATGAAATCGACTTTTGAATTTAACTTTAATTTCAAAGATAACTTTTTCTTAAGAAAGTTTTCTAATATTTTTTCTCATAATAAAATATTATTGACACCTTCATTAAAAAATATGTTTATGTTATTGTCGTTGTGATCCAAATTAAAACATTGTTTAATAAATAAATTGAACTAAATTGATTTTAATCCTCGTAATTAGTTATACACTCCTATAATTTTCTTTGAATAATCCTAGTTTTATTTATAGCGACTAATTTTGACTTTGGGTTGCTGCTTTACACTACAATAAAATAGATATTTAGTGGCATTTAATATGATTTTTAGTGACAATAAAAATTGCTACAAAATCTTTTACCGACATTTCACAAATTAGCCATTATATGCAGTGTCGCTAAAATATTTACCGGCAATTATTTTACATGCTGGTAAAGACCCTCATAATGGTCAAGAAAGTGTATAACTTTTTGTGTCATTTGTTACTGACATTTAAAATTACCGCTAAAAGTTTAAGAAAAGATTTATAATACTCTTTAATTATCTTATTTCTAGTCGATATAGAACTTCTAAGATGAGTACAAATACTATTTAGTTACCTTATTTCTAATTGATGTGGAACTTAGAAGATGAATGTTATCTTCTAAGTATATATTCTTTAATTTTTTTAATTATCTTATCTCCTAAATACTAACTTAGAATAGTAAGTTATAGGCCTAACTCAACTTTATAAAACATACTTGTAAGGTAAGAGTTATCATTCACTTATATACTCTTTAATTATTTTATTTCTAGTCGATGTGAGACTTAAGTTTTTTTTAACAAATAATTGTCGCCAATAGTAAATTTTGATGTGATGTAAATATATTTTTAGTGACAATTATATAATAGTTATTGATATTTTTATTAAATAATAAAATAGAGACAATTAATTTATTATCAATAAATAATTATCGGTAATACTAAATTTTGTTGTAGTTTTATAACTTTTAAACGTTGAATGGTTGGTTGTAAACGTGAGCTTGTTTTTCTCGTTTTGTTATGAGTATTTTATTTGCAACTATATTAGCGAAGAAAAAAAAATACATCAACTTCATAATTTTTCAAATTTTAAAAAATTAAATTAAATTGGTAGTTATAGGTGGTTATATAAAGAATCTAATTTTTTTTCTTTAAAAGTTAAACAACATAATACTGCACTAAAAAGTGAAAATAAAAAATAATTATACACTATATATTTTTTCCTATATCTTCTTTATAATAGGTATAGATATATAAAAGTTTGTTTATAGATAAATATTTAGACTATTTTATCCTTATAAACAGTTTTTAAATTACTATCTCTTACTGTCCTTCTCTTTTATTATTTTTTATTTAATTTTTATTTTCTTTATTTAACTTTTAATAAGTTTTAAATTAATTAATCACTTATTTCATTATTTTTTACTTTTTAATTAATAAAGATACATAGTATGTCTCTCCCAATAATAAGCTTAATTTGTTTAAGAAGAATTTTTCTTTATATCTGTACTTTTTTTTTTATGTTTATAGTAAATTATAGTATTGAGTTAATTTATAGTTTATATCTTTTGTATATATAGTTAAAACATTTTTTTTTGTAATTAAATATTATTGATAAAACATAAAAAAAAAATTTAAAGTACAAAAGACTCAAAACTAAACACATATTGCAATTGTAAACTTTTCATATTGCTTCTTTAGTTTTACGGCATGACCTGTATAAGTTCAGGTATCTCGTGTTTAAATAAGATAGAGCAAAACATTTGAAGTATGCTTATTTATATGTAATTACGACTTTTAGCAATAATAAAAATAATTAATGTTATCAAAATGAAAAGATTAAATAAAAAAATACTAAGTGAAATATAAAATTAATTAATACAATCAAGAATTGTTATTATAAAATTAATTTGTCTATATAGCAGGCGAGTTCCTCCACACCCTAGCATGCAGTTTGAGAATCTGCACAGCAACAACAAAATCTTTGTCACTGTCCAAACCCTCTGAATCTTCTTTGCTTTCAAAGGGCGAAGTTGTGCCAGGTCGTTTCAAGAAAACCTGTTTTCACAAATTTAAAAATAATAACATTATATAATAAAATTTAAAAAACTTACTACCTCTTCCTATTATACAACCTAATTACATAATTTAATAAATTTAAGAAAAATAATTAATTTAGTTAATAACAATAATTTTATCCTATATATTAAACTACTCTTACATCATCTTTTTTTTAATTAATACAAATATATATATATATATATATATATATATATTCTTTAATAAGTACATATTTTTTTTAAAAATTATTATTTATACATTTTATCAACTTAAAAAACGCATTTTAATTAAAAATATTTTAGTATAACATGAATTAGATTATATGTAAAAAAAATTCAATAATCATTTTACACGTTTTTTTACGTGATTTTTACAGTACCATGTAACCAACCATGTCTGCAGTGATATTTGTCCTTTTTTTGCTCGACCACGGACCACTCGGTCCATATCAACTATCAATTCCTTTCCTATTTTTCATCCACATTCACGGTTTATATTTTAATTCTTTAATAATATTTTTTATTTATATTTATTAAAACGTTACTATATTTTAAATAAATAAATTATTTTATAATATTTTAATGAAAAATATTATTATAAATAGATAATACCTTTTATTTCAATATATTATTATTTTTAATTATTTTCAAAATCAAAATCTCTTATAGAATAAAATATTATATAATTTATTTTGTAATATTTTTTTTGAAAAATATATTATAAATAAGTAATATCTTTTTATTTCGATATTTTCTTTCTAGTTACGGTTAAAATCAAAGTTTCATATCAAATAAAAAAATATTACATTAAAGTATACTTTTCTCATCTATGATTGTTTTTCATAATTAAAATTTTACATCGAGTAAATTAATCAATAATCCATAAAAAAAGTATATATATAATCACATAATTATATTTAAGATAAATAAATTTTGATATCTGATATATAATTAGTAGTGACTAATTAAAAATATCTTTAACTTTCTCTTAAAGAACTTCTAAGAATTAAAAGAATATAAAGTATAATAATTAATAATAACACCCATAATAAAATTAATTATTATTTTATAAAACTTTAATAACATCATTAAAATATTATAAAAATATAATTTTGATAATCAAAAAATATTATTTAATTATGTAAAAATATTATTAAAGATTAAATTATATATAATATTTGATAATATATTATAATTTTTTTAATAATTATATACAATTAGGTAATATTTTTTTTAATGTTGTTAGCCAATGGTTTTTTCTTCATTTTTCTTTCTATTTCTTTCTTGGCTACCCTGAGCATTATGTAGCAAACTTTTGCAATGATATTTTGTCCATGTCTACCTGACCATCGTACATTCCCACTACCAAATTAATTAGGCAGCAAACTTTTGCAATGATATTTTGTCCATGTTTGCTCGACCGCTCGTTCAGTTCCGTTCATTAACTACTGAATCTTGACCATGCTGGAGTCCACAAGTTAAATGTACGTTAAATCTTCAAATTACTCAACTATAATGCAAATTTTTTTTTTTTCTTAGCACATAGATCCCAATCAATATAATTTTAAAAGTTATTTTAATTATTTACAAGACCAACCACCACTTCTACCCCCTTTTGGTAAAAATTCTCAAAATCTTTATTATTTTTTATACCCACCATCACCACACTCAACCAATAATAATTCTCTGAATCCCCATTTTTTTATGTATCCACCACCAATACCAACTAATCCCAATATATTTTATAGGCCTTCAATATTTTTCGAAAAAGTTGTGGAGTCAGTAGATCGGGAAACAGATTCACCAATTGGTTCAATATTTGAGTCTCAAGTTGGGTTAGAGAACAACACACTTGATGTAGGAGGACAACAAGGAGAAGAAATATGTACTAAAAAAAATCACGTGAAAGCTTTTCCGTCGAAGAGGATAATCTACTTATTCGAAGGATGCAATTGTGGGAGTTGATCAAAATCGAAATAGTTTCTGGATAAGAATCAAAGAGAATTACAATAACAATCGCAATCAATTTCCAGAAAGGAATCCAGGTCAATTAAAAAGTTGTTGGTTTCGAATAAATAAAGTAGTTCAATTATTTGTCGGATGTTATAAACAAACTTGTGATAAAAAAAAGTGACAACTTAGAAAAAGACATAATGGCAAATGCATATAAAATTTACTCACAAGATGTAAGTGATAAATTCAATTTTGAGCATGCATGACTATTATTAAGAGATGAGCCAAAATGGAAATCTGAATCAATGGAGAGCTCTTCAAGTTGGGTTAGAGAACAACACACTTGATGTAGGAGGACAACAAAGAGAAGAAATATGTACTAAAAAAAATCACGTGTAAGCTTTTCTATTGAAGAGGATAATCTACTTATTCGAAGGATCCAATTGTGGGAGTTGATCAAAATCGAAATAGTTTCTAGATAAGAATCAAAGAGAATTACAATAATAATCGCAATCAATTTCTAGAAAGGAATCCAGGTCAATTAAAAATTTGTTAGTTTTGAATAAATAAAGTAGTTCAATTATTTGTCGGATGTTATAAACAAACTCGTGATAAAAAAAGTGACAACTTAGAAAAAGACATAATTGCAAATGCATATAAAATTTACTCACAAGATGTAAGTGATAAATTCAATTTTGAGCATGCATGTCTATTATTAAGAGATGAGCCAAAATGAAAATCTGAATCAATGGAGAGCTCTTCTAAAAGATCAAAGATCTCTAAATCTGGGCAATACTCAATGTTTTCTAACACAGATGCAGCCAGTGATGGTCAAGAATATGACCCAACAACCCCAATGTCTAGTCTAATAGGTCAAAAAGTAACGAAAAGAAATAGTAAAACAATGGTTGACGAAACATCTTCTGACAAAAAGGAGTTGGATAATATGACAAAAACAATGTTAGAAAGAAGTATTGCAGTAAAGAAATTGGTTGAAGCGAAGGAGGCTACTAACTTTAGTACAATGTATGACATTCTCATGAAGGACACATCTGGAATGACTGAGAAGCAACTCAAAGATCATGAATTGGCTTGTAAGTTTATTAAGTACAAATTAGGAGAATAAATATTATTGTAATTTTAATTATCACAAATTAGTGCGTATTTAATTTTTATATTTAATTTTGTTGTACATTTTGGTAATTTTTTATATTATGTAATTTATTTTTATTATTGTAATTTTTTATTATATAATTTCTTTTGTTTGTTATTCATATTTATATATTATCTATAATAATTAATTTTTTTAAAATTTATTATAAAGTATAGTATGAGTTGTCAAAAAATATAGTATGAGTTGTAAAAAAGTAGAATGTTTACAAATAATTTTTATTAAAGTAAAAATTATAAAAATATAATATGAATTACTTATAAGTAACGTGTTACAATAAAATTTATTTAAAGTGATTGGACATTGTAAATGCTCTGATGCAATAGTTCCACTTTAACTTTTTTGCTATTTATACGCAATCATTGCTTTGTGATCTCTAGACCTATCTGCCGGAAACATAATATACATAAACACATGCACTGGTCAGGAATCGTCAGCAATGAAAAAAAAAGAGACGCAGATTGATAATATTGAAGAGAATGATGGCAACTGCAATACGAACCTTGCTATCACCAAGTGCACAGGCGAAACACAAGCAAATTTGGCTTCACTTATTACTCAATACGTTGAGTCTCTAAATCAGCGCAGATTCCGCCACTTGGGTACACTTTCGCTGCTTTCTCTTCTTTCCAATGTATGTTTACTTTTTATTGGTTTCATTTCAGCCAAAAAAACACTTTCTTTGGCGTAACCCCAAATGAGATATATACTCATTTCATCGTTATATTATTATACGAACTACTGCAGGCTACCCCACTAATCAGGATTTAAACTATGACGTATTATTACCGTTGCTTAATTTTCATTTGAACAATGCCGGTGATCCATTTCTAGGGAGTAGTTTCTCCCTAAATTCAACAGCATTTGAAGTTTGCGTGCTTGATTGGTTTGCAAATCTGTGGGAAATAGAGAAGAATGAGTATTGGGGATACGTCACAACTGGTGGAACTGAAGGCAACCTTCACGGGATTTTAGTAGGGTTAGTTACCTAGTTTATTCAACAGTACTTCATTTAATTTCTTTTTGATATTTTAAAAAATATATATACATTGCAAATACAAACATTGATTTATATCTTTATTATACACAGGAGAGAACAACTTCCTGATGGGATATTATATACCTCTCAAGATTCGCATTATTCAATATTCAAAATAGCAAGAATGTATCGAATGCAATGTGTGAAGGTTAGAACATTAGTCTCGGGTGAGATTGATTGTGTTGATCTAAAGGCTTTACTTGTTGCACACAAGGACAAACCAGCCATCATCAATTTAAACATAGGTCTCTTCTTGTCTTTGACTAGTACTCTATGTAGTACACGTTACTGTTAATAATTAACAACCACATTCATGCACACACACCTTTTTACAAATGTAGACACATAATTAGAAAGGTTTAATTGGTATATTTATGCAGGGACAACTATGAAAGGAGCTGTAGATGATGTTGAACTTGTAATACAAACGCTTGAGGGATGTGGTTTCACTCGCGACCGATTCTATGTTCACTGTGATGCAGCTCTTTTTGGAATGATGTTGCCTTTTCTCAAAGGAGTGAGTTTAAGTTATAACTTATTAATTAATAAAATCATTATTTTGATGTTTGCTTAGGGATTAATGGAGATGCTAAGGTCGGACGTGTGAAGACCAAACCATTCAAATTGATAAATTAAATTTGAATTATGAAAAAAAATTTCACCATCCTTACCTCAATTACAATCTACAACAAAAAAAAAGCCAAGAAAAAAGCTGTTGTTCTTTTTTTTTTTACTTGGTGTGGATTTAGGTGGCAATTAAGATATACGAGGGATAAAGGGCACGTTTTAAATTCATGAGGTGGGATGTATATATGCTTATTAATTACTTTCACTACAAGAAAATTCGCTATTACAGATGACCAGAATCCGTGGAAAATGCCAAAAATTCGTGGGTAATAGTGCATTTTCGACAGATTACCGACGGACACCAATCCATCGGTAAATTGCTCGTCTAAAATATTTACAGATGGATTTTTATTCGTGGGTAACTTTTTGACGGATTTTCCCATGGATTTATCCGTGGGTAAATTACCCACGGATTTACCCACGGATATATCCGTGAGAAATTTCCCACGGATTTATCCGTGGAAACGAAAATTATAATTTTTTTAGTTTTAATAAATTTATTAATGTAACAACCTTCATACTGCTAACTCGAGCGTCTTGCTCGCTGTTGAAAACTTGGCGTCGGTGGGATGTCTCTCCGACTTCCACTGGGATCATTGCGTCAGCCTCGTAGGTTAGCCTATAAGGTGTCTCTTGCGTGGTTGACTGGGGGGTGCAATGATACGCCCAGAGGATGCTAGGAAGTTCCTCAGCCCATTGTCCCTTGGCGTTCTCGAGGCGCTTTTTGAGTTCTCAGAGTATTACCTTGTTAGCTGCTTCGGCTTGACCATTAGTTTACGGATGTTCCACCGAGGTCGGAAGATGTTTGACTCCGAGCTCCCGAAGAAAGTCCTCGAAGTCCTGTCCGATGAACTGTCAGCCGTTATCAGTAACAAGGGAATGAGGTATCCCGAATCTGCATACGATACTCTTCCAGGTGAATTTCCGTATGTTCTCAGTGGTGATCCTAGCTAGTGGACATGCCTCGATCCACTTGGTGAAGTAGTCGATTGCCACCAGGAGGAACTTGTGCTGACCCTTCGCTGGGGGGAATGGTCCTAGGATGTCCATTCCCCACTGGGCGAAAGGCCACGACGACATCATTTGGTAGAGAGTTTTGGGTGGCTGCTGATGTGAGTTGCTGAACTGCTGACATTCTTTGCATTTTTGTACGTAGTCCTGGCAATCCAATTTTAATGTGGGCCAGTAGTACCCTACTCGGAGTACTCTGGTCGCCATTGAACGTGCCCCGGAGTGCATGCCACATATGCCCCCGTGGATCTCCTCGATGACATAGGCTGCCTGGGGTGCAGTTAAGCACTTGAGCAGTGGGGTGGAGATGCCATGCTTGAATAGTTCGTCGCCAATGATGACGAACTTGGCCGACCTCAACCTCATCTTCCTGGCTTCATCCCTGCCCTCGGGCAAAACTCCTACCTTCAAGTAGCTCCAAATGCCTGTCATCCATCCCTGGTCTTCACTGTCGCTAGCGGTGATGACCTTGTCATCCAGGTTGGGTGAGTGCAAACTCTCCTGGATGATGGTCCGATGTTGTCCAGGGCTCTTAGTGCTCGCGAGTTTTGATAGGAGGTCAGCTCTGGTGTTCTGTTCTCGCGGTACATGCTGTATAGTGAACTCGTCAAAGGACGAGATCTGTTGTGATGCCATGTGGAAATACCGCTGTAGAAGAACGTCATTGGCCTGGTATGTTCCACTGAGCTGCTCGACCATAAGTTTCGAGTCGCTGTTGCACCTTACTCTCCAAGCTCCGAGGTCATGAGTCAACCTTAGCCCTGCAAGAAGCGCCTCGTATTCTGCTTGGTTGTTGGTTACCTTGAAGCTGAATTTGAGTGATTGCTCCAACGTGACTTGGTTTGGTCCCTCCAAGATGATACCTGCACCACCACCTTTGGAGTTGGAGGACCCGTCGACGTGTAAAATTCATACCTGTGGTTCTTCGACTGAGGTAGGAGTGAGTTCGGCTACGAAGTTGGCCAAGCATTGGGCTTTCAGGGCTCCGCGACTTTCGTACTGGATGCCAAACTCGGATAGTTCTACCGACCAAGCTATTATCCGCCCGGCGAGCTCCGACTTCCTCAAGATCTGCTTGATTTGGTAGTCAGTCTTGACGATTACTTGGTGACTTTGGAAGTAAGGTCGGAGGCGCCTGGCTGTCGTGACAAGGGCCAGTACAAGCTTCTCAATGGTTTGGTACCTCTTCTCTGTGTCTTGGAGGACTCGGCTGATGAAGTAGACCGGCGTTTGTGTTTTTTGGTGCTCCTGCACTATGACCGCACTGATTGTGCTTTCTGCCACTACCAAGTAGAGGAGGAGGTCGGTTTTGTGATCCGATCTTTGCAGGATTGGCGGAGTCGTGAGAAAAGTTTTGAAACTTCGGAAAGCTTCCTCGTACTGATCCATCCACTGGAAGTCTTTTGGCTTCTATAGAAGAGTGAAGATTGGCCCTGCTTTCTCCGCGAGTCTAGGGATGAAACGGGATAGTGAGACCAACCTTCCGGCTAGGCGTTGAACTTCTTACACCATTTGAGGACTCTGCATCAGGATGATGGCTTTACACTTCTCAGGGTTAGCCTCAATTCCTCTGTTAGTGATCATGAAATCGAGGAACTCAGTAACAAGGGAATGAGGTATCCCGAATCTGCATACGATACTCTTCCAGGTGAATTTCCGTATGTTCTCAGTGGTGATCCTAGCTAGTGGACATGCCTCGATCCACTTGGTGAAGTAGTCGATTGCCACCAGGAGGAAGAGAATTAAAAGAGGAAATACACACTTTGTGTCTTTAAATCTTTTTAAAAGGTTTTCTAGGAATATTTGCATGATTATTGGGATTAGAATTTGAATCCCTACTATTGCGCAAGTCAACAACAACCTTGCCTCGAGCTTTTGCGGCTTTTTTTGTTTCATTTCACAATCATCCAAGGCCCGTAATTCTCATCAGAATCTAGATTCTCCAAATTATGGTTTGACTTTTGCTGACCATTCTGGATTGGGCTAGGGTTGCCTTGTAGATTTGTTAACTCCTCCATCGTGGCATCATCATCCATGGCTGTCTGTGCATGCTTTTTCCCCTGATCTTCCACTTCAACAATGACTTCTTGTGAGAATTGGGATTGCTTGTGCCCATATTTCCCGCACTTGAAGCATATAGAATGCAATCCTTCATACTTTAAATTAAGGATATGTCCTAATACATCAATCTGAGATACCAATTTCTTCTGCAAATCAATCTCAACACATATTCTAGCGAACCTTCCACGGGATTGTATGGACGTTAGCTTGTCAATCT